GCCTTTTTTCCCAAAACCATAAAAGCCACAAAGACCCCTTTTTCCTTTTCTAAATACGTTCATTATATGTTTTACTGTAAACACCTGTCCACACACCCCCACCTTTCCTAAAAACCTCCCCTTTTTCTTGCTATCCTTTCTCCGCTACCTTAAATTTTTTCAATTATAACTCTACCATACACTTTACCCCGGGACACTCAACAAATTTCCCCCCCTTAATTTTTGCACTCTTTTTATCCCTTTGCCCTTTTTACAAAGGAACTAAGCTGCTCTCTGCCAAACCCAGGACCTTTCCCTTTCCATACATTTTTTAAAAATTGCACCAACCACTCCAAAACTTCCCCACCTGCTTTTAACATTTCTATCTTTAACCCCTCAATCCCGGGTGCCTTTCCCCCCCTTTTATTTTACCTACTGCCTCACGAACTTCCCCCCCACTCAAACTGGGTCTTCCCCCACTCCTACAAGATGTTATTCCTCCTTGCCCCATACACGAAATCCAGCTTCCCTATCTTCATAACATTTTAAAAATTCCTCAAAATATTCCCTCCATCTACCCCCTACCTTAAAATCTCCCTTTAAAAACTCTCCTTCCATTTTAACTGACAAATCCATTTGTCTCTAGGTTCCCTTAACTTGTTTAAACTCACTCCAAAACTTTTTTTTTTTTTTCAACAAATTTTTTGATAACAGTCCCCCCTCTCTCATTTGCTTCTTTTTTCATTGCTTCAAAACCCTCTCTTAAAATCTCTCTTTTTCTCCATATACTTTTCCCTCCTTCATCCTTCTACTTTGTAAAAACTTCTCATATGTAACTTTTTCTCCTTACTACTCCTTTACATCATATTCCACCCCTCGCTCCTCTTCCCCCCCTGCACCCACTTTCCCGTAACCCCAAATTCGCTGAACACCTAACACACATTTTTTAAAAACCCACCCCCCTTTCCCCTTCGACCCCTTCCATGCTCTCATTAGCCCCTCTATCCTCCAATACTGTTTTTTATCTTTTCCCCAACGCCTCCTCTTTGTGGGATTTTTGGATTTGGAAAAGGCGTATGAAGGGTGGATAGGGGGGCAATGTGGCAGATTTGCAGGTGTAAGGGTAGGAGTTGGTTTCGAAAACAGTGAAGATTTTTACGAGGAAGTAGGCTCAAGTTAGAGTATTAGGAAAGAGGGGAAAATTTTTTTCCCAGTAAAAAAAGGCCTTAGACAAGGTGTGGATGTCACCATGGTTTTTTTAATATTTTATAATGGGGTTATTAGGAAATAAATGCGAGGGGCTTGGCAAGAGGCGTGGGGTTAAAAATAAAGAATCACAACAAAGTAGGGGTTGTCACAGTTGCCTTTGCGATGACACTGTGCTCTTGGGGACGAAGAAAGTTTTCGGAGATGGGTGGATGAAAATTTGGTGGGTATGCAAAAGAAGAAAATTAAAATGAATACAGGAAAGAGTAAGGTTTTAGGAAAAAACAAAAAGATTTGGTGTGAAAGATTTGGGTATCAGTTGGAGGGAGAGGTTGGAGGAGGGAAAGTATTCAGATATTTTGGGGGGCGTGTCAGCGGATGGGGGCATGGGAAAAATAGGAATCATAGAATTTTATAGGGGGGAAAAGGGGAGTGGGGCACTTTGGGTCTGTGGGGGAAAAGAACTTTGTCCCTTTGGGGCAAAGAGGGGAAAAATTTTGAAGGGATAATTTTCCAACCTCTTTTGTGGGTTGGAGGGGGATGAAAGTTGCAGCAGGAGAAGGCTGGAGGATGGAGATGTCATGTCTGAGGGCAAGTGTGGGTGAATATAATGCAAGAAATTCGTAGTTTGGAAGTTAGGAGGAGGTGCGGGATTACCAAAACTTTGTCCCCGGGGCTGAGGGAAAGGGTTTTTTGAGGTGGTTCGGACTGTAGAAGAAGGAGTGAAACAGAATGATTCAAGAGTGTATCATCTGTGTGGAAAGGGAAAGGGGGGGTAGGGGGCGGGCCCAGGAAAGGTTGGAGGGGGGGGGGTAAAGGAGGTTTTTTTGTGCGAGGGCTTGGACTTGCAGTAGGCAAGCGGAGCGTGTTTTTTAAAGGGTGAATGGGGACAAAAAAGGTTTTTAAATTTGACTGCTGTTTGGGGTTACAAAGTAACATTTTGAAGGGTTCAGGAAACCCGGGAGGCCGGGCTTTGGGCCCCGGAGATGGGAAGTACGTGCCTGCATCTGAAGGGGGGTGTTAATGTTGCATTTAAAAAATGTATGTAAAGCACCCCCTGGCAAAACTGGGTGGAGTGAATGATGGTGAAAGGTTTTCTTTTTCGGGCCACCCGCCCTTGGGGGAAACCCCCCATGTGTAAAATAATAAAATAAAATAAAAAATACACAATATTCTCTCCAAACTGCCAATATCCCAAACCCCCCCTTTTGAGTGGAGGCATTGTACTTCCCAGTTCCAGGGCTTAAGTGGTTTTATAAAATACCAGTTTCCTGAATCCCTTCACTAAATTCCCTGTTCACACTCCAAAAGATCGTCAGGTCCCCAAAAACCATTTGTCTCCATTCACTCCCACTAACACGCTCCCCCACCCCTTTCTGGAAGTCCAAACCCCTCCCCACAACACCCCCTTTTACCCCCCCCCCTCCATTATTTATATTAATAAATCAAGGGGGAAGGGCCCAAAACCCAGAGGTTATTCAGCGCCTGGGGGGGGTTGGGAAGGCATTAGGGTTAATTCGGGGAACTGGAGCCAGATCCAATTCCCTAAATCAAAGCCCCTCCCAACATCAAGGAACCTTTCCTTTGGGGGGGCCCCCCCCCTCCAAACCCTTTTCAGGGGGACCCCCCCCCCCCTTCCTTCCCCCCACGATTTATACCTCTCCTGCATTCTACTTTTTTCCATTCTCTCTAAATGACCCAAAACCTCTCAACAAACCCTCTGACTAATACTTTTATTAACTCCACACCTTCTCCTAATTTCTACACTCCGAATTTTCTGCATAATATTTACACCACACATTGCTCTTAGACAGGACATCTCCACTGCCTCCAACTGCCTCCTTGCTGCAGCATTTGCAACCCAAGCTTCACACCCATATAAGAGTGTTGGTACTACTATACTTTCATACATTCCCTTCTTTGCCTCCATAGATAACATTTTTTGCCTCCACATATACCTCAATGCACCACTTGCCTTTTTTCCTTCATCAATTCTATGATTTACCTCATCCTTCATAAATCCATCCGCTGACACGTCAACTCCCAAATATCTGAAAACATTCACTTCTTCCATACTCCTCACCAATTTGATATCCAATTTTTCTTTATCTAAATCATTTGATACTCTCATCACCTTACTCTTACTTCTATGTTCACTTTCAACTTTCTACCTTTACACACATTCCCAAATTCATCCACTAACCTTTGCAATTTTTCTTTAGAATCTCCCATAAGCACAGTATCGTCAGCAAAAAGTAACTGTGTCGCTTCCCATTTTGTATTTAATTCTCCATATTTTAATCCCACCCCTCTCCCGAACACCCTAGCATTTACTTCTTTTACAACCCCATCTATAAATATATTAAACAACCATGGTGACATTACACAGCCCTGTCTAAGACCTACTTTTACCGGGAAGTAGTCTCCCTCTCTTCTACACACCCTAACCTGAGCCTCACTATCCTCATAAAAACTCTTTACAGCATTTATTAACTTAGCACCTATTCCATACACTTGCAACATCTGCCACATTGCTCCCCTATCCACTCTATCATATGCCTTTTCTAAATCCATAAATGTAATAAAAACTTCCCTACCTTTATCTAAATACTGTTCACATATATGCTTCAATGTAAACACTTAATCTACACATCCCCTACTCACTCTAAAACCTCCTTGCTCATCCGCAATTCTACATTCTGTCTTACCTCTAATTCTTTCAATAATAACCCTACCGTACACTTTTCCTGGTATACTCAATAAACTTATTCCTCTATAATTTTTACAATCTCTTTTGTCCCCCTTCCCTTTATATAAAGGGACTATACATGCTCTCCGAAGGTACCCAGGTACCTGGGTACCTTCCCCTCTTTCATACATTTATTAAACAAAAATACCAACCACTCCAACACTGTGTCCCTCTGCGTTTAACATTTCTGTCATGATCCCGTCAGTTCCAGCTGCTTTACCCCCTTTCATTCTATATAATGCCTCACTCACCTCCCCCACACTCACATCCTGCTCTTCTTCGCTCCTAAAAGATGATATACCTCCCTGGCCAGTGCATGAAATTACCACCTCCCTTTCTTTGTCGACATTTAAAAGTTCCTCAAAATATTCTCGCCATCTACCCAAAACCTCCATCTCCCCATCTACTAACTCCCCTTCTCTGTATTTAACTGATAAATCCATTTGTTCCCTAGGCTTTCTTAACTTGTTTAACTCACTCCAAAATTTTTTCTTATTTTCATTAAAATTCCTTGACAGTACCTCTCCCACTCTATCTATCATTGGCAAAAAGCAAGTGTAACAGCTCCCATTTTGTATCAGATTCATTTATGTGTAGATGTGAATTTAAATGTGTTGGGTTTGGGAAAATCAAATACATGTACTGGAAGTCATCCTAATTATGGTATGTTTTCAGAAAGATATATCTGAAGGATGAAAACTTGCTTTATGATGAAAATATTTTCCTCCATTAGTAATTTTTTTGTTATATTCTCTGGTGGTAATTGTTGAACTTTTCCAAAGAATCTGCTGTAGTTGAAGAATGTGGAAAAGATCAAATTTTTTTTAAGTTAATTTAGTGCTGACTATTATTGTAGCAATCTGATAATGGAGGAAATTTAGTAGATGAATATGTATATACATGGTTAATAACAAAAAAAGGCACAATACCGTGACTGGAATGATACACAAATAGCTGGTCCAAGTCGGACCGAAACATCGTCGTAAGCTCCTCTCTTCTATGTGCGGGTTATTTGTGTAACATGGTTAATACTGTAAATAAGCATTTGAATTATTCTCATTTTATTTCCAGGTATTTATTACTACATGCGTGAAATTACTCCAAATCTTGAAGGTGTCTTCCGCTACAATAAGGCCGATGACTTAGTGTCACGTTTCACAAGTCGGGAAGTAGAAGTTCGAGCTCTGGTAGAAGGGCAGCTTATAGCCAAGCGTGTTTATGCAGAAAAATTGGGCTTTAACATAGGTAAGAATTACATTCCCACTGTACAGTGAAAATTAACTTTCATATTCATACTGCATATTTTACTTTTTATATTGCTATTTATGTTCAGTATTCTAACATATACTGTCAAATTCCTTATAAAGAATATTTTTGTATGTGTTTACTAACAGTTATTTAGACTCATAGCACTAGAGAAAGAATACCATAAAGTATCCAGGCAAGCCTTAAGCATAGCCTGGACTAATTGGGTATTGGCTTTATGTATCACGGAAATACTTAAAGGTATTGGTCTGTGTCATTGATTACAGTAGTATAGTTAAAGATAATGTTGCACACCTGAGTTGCATGTGTATTTGTAAAGGATGCTAGTTGCAAGAAAACAAATATAAACAGAAAACTTTATTGATTAAATGACACTACATTGAAAATACTGTATTTACACTGCTTGAAATAATTAAATTAGGCTTCATACTAAATGTAACGCTTCTCAGCTGTGCACTGAGGATTTACCCTGTATAATTAACGGCCATTACAATTATCATCACTCTTTCTGTGTACTTAATAAGCAATATTAGACACTTAAAGCCATTATGACAACATTACATGGTATTTTGAGTACTTAAAAACCACTGTATACTCAATTACTATCAGCACACTTCATTATGCTGTCACAGCACAGTATCTCGCTTTTCTACTACACTTAACAAGTCGCTGTATCTTCACATCACTTGTGTCTATGGTGACTCTTGTCCTCACTGGCTGACCAACAATTTCTTCGGTGATTCCTTTGGAACTGGGCAGGATGGTTGGTTTGTGGGCTAATTGTGTTTAAAGCCTATCAACTACAAGAAGGTTATAAAAGCTGCATATGGTCTGTTCACCACCAGTCATGTATATTTTCATCTCTAAAATAGGAACTACAGTAAATTGTTAGTACAGTGGACCCCCGCTTAACGATCACCTCCAAATGCGTCCAATTATGTAAGTGTATTTATGTAAGTGCGTTTGTACGTGTATGTTTGGGGGTCTGAAATGGACTAATCTACTTCACAATATTCCTTATGGGAAAAAATTCGGTCAGTACTGGCACCTGAACATACTACTGGAACGAAAAAAGTTCGTTAACCGGGGGTCCACTGTATATATACAGAGATATGTACCTCACTGTATATATCTTTGCAGGTTGGAGTTTTCTCAAGTCTAGTATACATTTTGTCTTTTGAGGAACATTTTTTTCCAGAAAATAGTAGTAGTGGTACAGGTAGTAATGGTAGTGGTAGAAGTAATAGTGGTAAATGTAGTAGTAGCAGCAGCATCAGCAGTAGTAGTAGTAAGAGTAGTGATGGTCGCAGCAGATAGTGAGGGCTCGTCTTCCTCCTCTAACACACACTTCTCCATTGACTCATAAAGGATCATTCCTTGACACTGGTGAAGGGCTCTTGATCCAGGGAACTGGACCAAATCTCTACTTATTGAATAAGACCTAATTTCCTCCCATTCCCCAGGCACTGTATGGTTCATACAGGCTTAGTGCAGCCTCATAAATAAAATGCTAATAATACTAAAGTTTGTTGAAAGAACAAAAGAATACTAAAGGATCATAAACACACCTAACATATGTATCTCCATTATTTCAAAGGAGCATTAAGAGGCTTCACTGTTGTGTATACAACCTATGTAATATGCATAAGTTCCCTGTACTCATTGGTAAACTGTTGTTTTGTCTTCACATAGTGTTGCTACCTATTTTATAATATCCTGGGAATGATTGTAACATGTACAGTTAAGTTTCTTTAACATGTATAGTATATAAGCCAATAACTTGATTTTAGTTTAGGTAGTAGGTTGGTAAACAGCAGTCACCCAGGTAGGTACTACCCTCCTGCCAAACGAGTGTGATACGGAAACCAGTAATAGTTTTACATGATGGTAGGATTGTTGATGTCTTTTTTTTTCTCATAAACACGTGGGATAGCAGGTATATCTTGCTACTTCTACTTACACTTCAATTACAATACACATGAATGTACATGCATATATATTTAAACACCCATCTGGGTTATCTATTTTTTTAATGGTTCTTGTTCTTTATTTCCTCTTATTTCCCTGAAGAAGTGGAAAAGAATTCTTCTGTAAGCCATGGTTGTCGTAAGAGGCGACTAGAATGCCAGGAGCAAGGGCTAGTAACCCCTTCACCTGTATAAATTATTTTTTTTTTTTTTTATTATTAGCACACTGGCCGATTCCCACCAAGGCAGGGTGGCCCGAAAAAGAAAAACTTTCACCATCATTCACTCCATCACTGTCTTGCCAGAAGGGTGCTTTACACTACAGTTCTTAAACTGCAACATTAACACCCCTCCTTCAGAGTGCAGGCACTGTACTTCCCATCTCCAGGACTCGAGTCCAGCCTGCCGGTTTCCCTGAATCCCTTCATAAATGTTACTTTGCTCACACTCCAGCAGCACGTCAAGTATTAAAAACCATTTGTCTCCATTCACTCCTATAAAACGAGCTCACGCATGCCCGCTGGAAGTCCAAGCCCCTCACACACAAAACCTCCTTCACCCCCTCCCTCCAACCTTTCCTAGGCCGACCCCTACCCCGCCTTCCTTCCACTACAGACTGATACACTCTTGAAGTCATTCTGTTTCGTTCCATTCTCTCTACATGTCCGAACCACCTCAACAACCCTTCCTCAGCCCTCTGGACAACAGTTTTGGCAATCCCACACCTTCTCCTAACTTCCAAACTACGAATTCTCTGCATTATATTCACACCACACATTGCCCTCAGACATAACATCTCCACTGCCTCCAGCTTTCTCCTCGCTGCAACATTCATCACCCATGGTTCACACCCATATAAGAGCGTTGGTAAAACTTTTGTTTTTCTTTTTAGTCACCCTGCCTAGGTGGGATATAACAAGTTTGCTAAAAAAAAAAAAAAAAACTTTAGGCTACTGTAATTATAATAGTGAGTTATAAACAGGCAGTGGGACTAGAGTACTGGCCACTGGAGGAGCTTCAAACAACAACAGTGTCTTACAAGTTCTGGCTGATGTGTTCAACTCTCCTGTGTATACCATGGTGAGTATGAGTGTGTGTGTGTGCATGTGGGGGGGGGGGGGATTGCAGGGAATGTTCAACTTTCCCCCTGATCCACCTCGAGGCCTGGTCTTAGACCGGGCCGCGGGGGCTTTGACCCCCGAAACCCTCTCCAGGTAATACAGTGGTGTGTGTTCATCTTACTTATGTACACTTTGGTATGTGTGTGTGTGTGTGTGTGTGTGTGTTAAACTTGGTGTGTGTGTGACAACTTGGTCAGATTAAATATTGAGCACATGCTGACCAATGTTTATAGATGAAGAATACAGTTTGTATTAATTTTTTAATAAACAAATGCATGTGCATACATGCACGCGTGAAGACAAAATCAAACACAAACACGAAAGACAAAATACACACAGAAAAATGCACAAAAACATTCACATGCACATATACATGTATGTATATATGCATGTACACATGGGGTCATGTCACTGTAAAATAAAAAAAAATATTTATTAGGCACACTAGGCAATAATGTATTATTCTAGTACTGTACAGTTCTTTGATATAGAGCACATTTTTATAAAGATCAGTTTGTTTTAAGGAAGTTATCAAATGAATGTTAACCAAATACTGCATTGTTTTAAATTTCTAGGCAGTTGCCAATTCTGCGTGTCTGGGATCTGCATATAGGGCCAAGCACGGGTTGGTGGGTGGCAAGTTCCAAGAGGTAATAAAGAAGCGGGACTTCAAACTTGTCTGCAAACCAAATTCTGATGCCGATAAGGTGTGTTTATATAATCATAATCAGTCATTTCCCAAGTTAGGTACATTTGTTACAAAGATTTCATATAGGAGAGAAGAGCTTACGACGAAGTTTCAGTCCGAATTGGACCATTTACAAAGTCACACTAACGAAAGGAGAGCAGGAAGGGTATATATAGGCAGGAAGAGGTAGTAGTAGTGGTGGTAGTGAAGGTGGAAGGAAGTAGTAGTGGGGAGGTGGTAAGAGTAGGAGGGGCCAGTCAAATACTAAGAAAGAGGAGCACTGCAAGAGAGCTAGGTGCCCACAGAGGGTAGGAGCAAGAACACCGAGGGAAAGAAAACAAATAAATAAATAAAAGGAACAAATACACTGGGTTGTCTTTCTTCTGCCCTGTGTATTTGTTCCTTTCATTTATTTGTTCCCCCCCCCCTCTCAGTGTTCTTGCTCTTACCCTCTGTGGGCACCTAGCTCTCTTGCAGTGCTCCTCTTTCTTAGTATTTGACTGGCCCCTCCTACTCTTACCACCTCCCAACTACTACTACCTCCTCCTGCCTATATATACCCTTCCTGCTCTCCTTTCGTTAGTGTGACTTTGTAAATGGTCCAAGTCGGACTGAAACGTCGTCGTGAGCTCTTCTCTTCTATGTGCGGGTTATTTGTGTATTGTTCCAGTCACAGTATTGTGCCTTTTTGTTATTTATTTCATATAGGGAAGAGCTCATGGTTATGCAAATTATTTTGGGTAGACTTAAACTAGGAGTACCCAGTAATACTGATAAAGCATAAAATTATATTGACATAATAGTAAAATCTGTAATTTAAAATATATGATGGTGAATGTGTTTTCCTTTGGGACCCCCTCCCTTTGGGTAAAAAAAGGGTGTGGGGGAAAAAAAAAAAAAAAATACAAATAAAACATTCACACTAATTAAATCAATGAACTCCAATGGAAAAAAAGGCCCCCAAATGGAAATAAGTTACTCTGATTTTTTTGGTTATCCTGGGTTTCTCACACATATGCTGCAGCTTTTTTTTTTGTTTTGTTTTTTCAACAATTGGCCCCCCCACAAAGAAAGAAAACCCCCCAAAAAAAAAAATCTTTAAACACATTAACACTTTCACTCACCACACATAAAAACTTTTTTTTGCAGGGGTGCTCAAACCCAAAACAGTTTAAAGCAAAAAACAAAAAAAAGATCACAACAATCCCTCCAAACTCCCAAATATCCCAAACCCCCCTTTAAAGTGCGGCTTGTACTTTCCTTTTTCCGGGCCAAAGCCAGTTTATAAAATAAGGGGTTTTCCCCCTAAACCCCTTTCACTAAATATTCCCCCTGCTACACTCCAACGCTCATCAGGTCCCAAATCCCATTTGTCTCCATCATCCTATCTAACACGCTCATGATGCTGCTGGAAGCCCAAAACCCCCTCGCCCACCCCCACCACCTTCCCCCCTCCCCCCAACCTGTTTGGGGACAACCCATCCCGCCTTCTTTCTCCTACAGATTTATAAAACTCTATGTCATTCATTTTGACCCATTCTCTCTAAATGACCAAACACCTCAATAAACCCTCTTCAGCCCCCAAATAAACTTTATTTAATCCCCACCCCTAATTTCCACACTCCGATTTTTTTGGGATAAATTAACCACACATTTTCCTTAGACAGGCCACTCCACTGACTCCAACCACCTCCTCACTGCAGCATTTACAACCCCCGCTTTACACCAATATAAAGTGTTTGGACACTATGCTTTTTAACATTCCCTTCTTTGCCTCCATAGATAACATTTTTTGCCCCCACAATACCTCATGCATGATAATGTATGAAATCTATGTAACTGTTTTGTGACATGAATACACTTACTCAAATTAGCACAAATACTTAACACAGCTAAACATATACTACACTAGTGAATGTTTTTTTTAGGATATCAATAAAGTAAAAAATAATGCACACTTGTATATTTTAATGCTAATAGATATAAACAATGCTTATTTGAATTATAAAATTTAAAACCCAAAGAATATATTTAGCATTAGCAAAAATATGAACAAGTAACAAATGAAAAAAGGGGAAATTTTGTAAGTATGAAATAAATTTAAAAGTACAACAGAAGCAGAGCATGAAATGTGTAAATTTTGCAAATTTATTGGGAAAATATAATAAAAGAAATAAACTTACACTGTCTAAACTATTTTTTAATTTATTACTGGTTTTCTCTTTTTAAACCATTTTTAGAATTTTGGAACCCTTTAATTTTATAGCCTTTTTTTTTTTTATTATAACATGTAGCTTCAGATCAAAACGTGGTATAAAGGTGCTTACAGGAAAATCATTTTTTTTTTTCTTTTAAAAAGTGTATCTGAACAATAATTTTTCATTTACCCTGGCTCAAGTATGTATCTGCTTCAATTAACCCTTTTCTGTCGCAACCCCCCCAAACCGAGGTGTCTCCCCCGGTGTCACAAAATTTAAAAAAAAAAAAAAAAATTTTGTGAAATGATAGAAATCTTTTCCCGATTGTAGTGACACCAAAAAAATGAAATTTGATGGAAAACTGACGGAATTACGCTTTCGCGAAGTTAGCGACCTCGGCGATATTTACAAATTGGCGATTTCGCCCAATTTGAGCCCTATTTTCGGCTAATTCCATTGTTCTAGTCGACCAAACTCATAGCTATTTCTTCAGAACTCCGTTTTTTTCTATCGCTTGAGTACAAGAAACTGCCCATTTACCAATTTCAACTACCCAATAACGTGGTCAGAAATTTGCAATTTGGCCAATTTCACGAAAATTATAAAATATGACAATTTCAAAATAAGGTCCAGAATGAACATTGCAGACATTCCTGGCTCTAAAATAACATTTTCTTTGTTCATCAGTCATGTCTCCAGGCCCCTCTGATATTACTCTTGCTTTCTATTATGAATTTTTATTCAAATAAAAAAAAAAAAGATTTACTGTTATGCAGACTACTGCAATACTGTAATAATTGTACAGATAATGTCAACCCATTCATGACTGCATATTAGAATGGCTAGTTGGACATTTATTGGACAATGACATCATTTGTTTACTTTTGAACATCGGCAAAAATCAAACATTTCCCCTACTTTGAGCTCCATTTCCAGGTTCTTTTTATAGTAAAACCAATCAAAATCACCTCTATTTCTATAACATGTTTTCCATTCTATCAAATGAGACCAAGAAAACGAGAATACAACCATAAATACTATACGAAAATAGACCACAAAGTCGGCATTTTAATAAAAAAAAAACTCCGACCGTTTTTTTTTCTCATTATGCACTGCATGCTCCAGGATTTTTTTTTTGGTGCACACTGACCACACAGACCCATTCTCTCACATGGGGGCCTACCAGCTTTCTCCTGCTTGATTTGAAGCTGCTAGAATTTATGAGTATATATATGTCAAACACGGTACCTCGTAAGACATATACAGTGGACCCCCGCTTTACGATCAGCTCCCAATGCGAGCCAGTTATGTAAGTGCGTTTGTACGTGTATGTTTGGGGGTCTGAAATGGACTAATCTAATTCACAATATTCCTTATGGGAACAAATTCGTTCAGTACTGGCACCTGAACATACTCCTGGAATGAAATAATATCGTAAACCGGGAGTCCACTGTATATACGACCAAAACAGTCAAAGGGTTAAACCATACCATGGGTGGCGTTAGAGCCTGCGATCAGTGTCTTAAAACTCCAGACAGACGCGTTAGCTACTGTGCCAGCTAGCTTTAATAAGATTCATCCAGTTAGGTATATTTCTACACCATAGTAAGGTTAGCATAGGCACCACTGTGACCACAAATTCAAGTTTTTACAGACAAATCTCCTGCTAGCATGCCGTGACAAACTCTAGCTCAAGTCCCCTCAAAGCCATCAACATGACTCACGAAATCGTAATGACATGATTGGAAACAAACCATACCACAGGTGGGGTTAGAACCCGCGATCATAGTGTTTGAAAACTCCAGACCGATGCCTTAGCCACTGGGCCAGCTAGCTACAATAAGATTCGTCCAACTAGGTATATTTCTACATCATAGTAAGGTTAGCATAGGAGTTTTGAGACTGATCGCTGGTTCTAACCCCATCCGTAGTATGGTTTGTTTGCAATCGTGACATTACGATTTCGTTAGTCGTGCAATTATGTTAGTCTAGAACTGTAGATCACTATAACATTATAACCTGAATCTGGTATAAAGCTTGAACAGAGGTAATGTTTTGTGTGTCACAGAAATTAGTTTATCTTACAGGGTGAAGCCATAGCTGGGAGCAGATGGATTACCTGTTGTTGAATTAGACACATGTGCAACTCTTGGGTATCTTTATAGAGGAAACGTTTCGCCACACAGTGGCTTCATCAGTCCATACAAAGGAGAAACTTGAAGAACAGGAGGAGAATGAGGTAATCAGTCCCTCAGCCTTGAGTCTTAATACAGTGGACCCCCGGTTAACGATATTTTTTTCATTCCATAAGTATGTTCAGGTGCCAGTGCTGACCGAATTTATTCCCATAAGGAATATTGTGAAGTAGATTAGTCCATTTCAGACCCCCAAACTTACACGTACAAACGCACTTACATAATTGGTTGCATTCGGAGGTAATCGTTATGCGGGGGTCCACTGTACTTGGGAATTCTTCACTTGCCTAACCCTTGGGCACGACCTACTTCCACATTGGACAAATGTGACACCACCTACGACTGCTGCCCCTCACCTGTCTACGGTTTATAAGCTGCTTCTCCGCTCATATGCCGTATTCTATTCAAGATTGATGGACTGACCACATCGACTCAAGGCTGAGGGACTGATTACCTCATTCTCCTCCTGTTCTTCAAGTTTCTCCTTTGTATGGACTGATGAAGCCACTGTGTGGCAAAACATTTCCTCTATAAAGATACCCAAGAGTTGCACATGTGTCTAATTCAACAACATGTTGGTTCTCTGAACCATTCATCTACAGATGGATTACCTACAACTTGGTTTATGTTTTGGACATATTGTAACTTCCTTTATAAATTATATTTTATATACAGCCATAAAAAGTACTGTTTAAACTTTTATTTTACATAGGTATATACTCCTTTGGTAGAGCGTTATCTTCATCTAGAGTCATCGCTGTTGGCTACCAAGAACAACATTCCCTCCATCTAGCATTGCTACTGTTTACCGTCAAGAAGAATGCTATCTCATCTCAAGCTGTTATTGTTGGCTGCTAAGAAATTCTCCTCCATCTTTACTCATTACTGTTGGCTGCCAGGAATATATGCTCTATCAAGAGGTAGTCAGGAACAGTGTTAGGTAAGGATAGGAACACTGCCATGAATGTATTAGCAGTAGCTAAAAATGTTCACATGGCTCTATTTGTTGGCTGGGAAACTTAAGGTGCTTTTGATTTAGTGTTTAAAGTCTAACTTTGCCTTAATTACATTAAAATTTATAAAGCTTGCCTCACTTATATCAGAAAAATATTTTTTTTCTAGCACTTGCAAAAAATATTATTAAATAAGTGATATAAATAATATATAAAAAAAAGTCTGTAAAAATAACTAGTCATTCATTTCTATTATATGTAACTTTTTCTTTTAGAAACTCTACAATATGTGGTATGAGAGATTGAGAGGAAATGAAAGATTTATCTTATTTTACAATACAGCCTCTTCTCACTTAGCGACATGCTCGTTTAATGACGACTTGGACTTACAACGGGCTCTGACCAGTATGCATAATTAATGTATATTAGAGCTGATTTCCTCTATTCTGTTTATTACGATATACAGTACATTGCTGTTTAACCCTTTGAGGGTCGACAGGCCCTCTCCAAAACTCGTTCTCAGGGTCGGCCAATTTTCAAAAAAAAAAAAAATTTTCATAAGAAAAAAATAGTTTTTTTTTTCTAAACATTATAGGCTAAACAAAAAATTTTTACCGTCAATACTTACCGAGATATGGTGGCGTGAAGTTTGCCAAAATTGAACAACATCTGGTAACATCGCTGACTGCCGTCACCCGGTATTTTTCTATTTACTTTTTTATGTACTATTTTCAATTATTTTTAAAATTTTCTTTTTCTGAGTAACTTTTATGGCCTCTGAGGCCAACATGATCAGTATTTTGTAAGTTATTTCTTTTTCAATACTACACAATAAGGGCGTAAACACTGTTGTCATTATTTTGTTTGTAGAAAATATTTACACAAACAAAATGATATGAAATGTTGTTTATTACTATTTTTCTATATTTTATTATACACATATACAGTCACAGGGAATGTTTCTAGAAGTTCTGCAGCCTGTGGAACTCTTTGAAACATGGTGTCATGCACAGTGGTGTTTTGCACTCCTCACCATAAAACGAGTTGTTCTCTGCGTTGTTGTGGGCGTTTTTTGTATGTGCACAGACGTAACACCTCTTCTGAGCCTTTTTCTTGAAAGCAGTAGCAGGCAGTTTTACCAGGAAGTGATCACCATGCTTCAGACGAGCAGGTAGTTGTTGATAATTTGGTGGGCGGTCAATTGCAGGTGTTGTTCCTTGGTACTTGAATTACTATTTGTCTGATGACAGACAAACAGAATTCGCCGTACTGTGGTTTGTTTCTGGTCCTTCATCTCTATACATATTATAAGCATTGAGCATGGAAATGTCACAGAAGATGGAAAAAAACAGTTTGATGTACACTTATAACTCTTGCGAACACAATCAGCAAACCCAATTGCATGTCACATTTGTCCACTGAACGCATGTTGAAGGTGTAATCAATCACAGCTGCAGGTTTTAGAATGGGTTCATTGGTCTCTCTATGCTGCCTGCCACTGTCTGCCATTTCATTAGGGTGAACTGATGACAACAGTGTGACATCTCGTTTGTCATGCCACCGAAATGCCATGATGTCATTGGCAGCAAACGCCTGCACCTCACCTCTACGAGTGCCAGCGTCAAACCTGGGCATATGTTTCCGATTTGCAGTACTGTGCCACACACATCTGTCATGTTCACTCGCAAAAAATCACTGAGTGAGGGGCTTGTGTACCAGTTATCTGTATATAATATATGCCCCTCAACAAGGTATGGTTCTATCATTGTTCTAACCACATCACCTGAGATGCCCAATAACTTCCTGGTATTTTGCAATGTATAACTTCCAGTGTACACAATAATATCCAATACCAGACCACTGTAACAATCACAAAGCACAAACAACTTTATACCAAAGTGTTTCCTCTTGCTTGGTATGTACTGCTTGAAAGAGAGTCTTCCTTTGAACAGAATCAAAGACTCGTCAATTACAAGCTTCCTGAAGGGATAAAAATGCGTATTGAATTTCTCTTTCAGATACACAAACACATTCCTAATCTTATATAACCTGTCAGTTCTGGTTTTATCTGAGAAGTGAAGCATACGTAACATTAGCACAAATCGATTCACTGGCATTACATCACTGAAACCTGGGGTTGCAATCAGGCGGTCTGTTGACCAGTATGATTTCACTTTGTGCTTATACACATGTGGCATAAGCATTATTGTGGCAAAGAAAAGATACATCTCAGCCACAGTTGCCTCCTTCCACTGGTGTAGACGTGATTTTGGTGAAAGTAATGTGTTTGCCATGGTGTACTCGTAGTATGTGTTGCTTTCCATGACAATACTTTCCGTCAGTGGTTCGTCAAAGAATAACTCGAAACATTCCAGTTCAGTGGCATTGTTCCCAAGTGTACAAGATGGCCGTATTCCACTTTGGCTGTCACCAAACTGGTAGGCATTTGGAACAAAATTGACAGCTTCCTGCCAATCCCAGGTGCGGTCTGCTGGTGGGTACTTAACAATGACAGGTGGTTGTGGTTGTGGAGGCTGGTGTGGTGGGTGGGTGGGGGATGGTGGCCTTTGTTGTAGATCAGCTGACGCAGCGGCGTGGGTGGCAGCATGGCCCACTGCTGGTGCCTCACCGCCGGCACCACTACCACCACGCACATTTTCCATCCCAATTGCAACAGTATCATCGTTATTTTCACTGTCTGTTCCTGTTGTACAGCCACGGGATGTACTCCGAGATACACTCCTTCCCCTTGGCATAGCATATGGCACACTACCAGAGTGCATATACATGTATCGTCGTATATACTGACGCTTCACTGGGGAATATTGCACTTCACTATCACTACTGGAACTAGTTTGAAGAGCTTGTAGTTCATATTCACAATCACTATCATCTCCCATGCTCTCATCTGAGTCTGGGATTTGGGAAAATAGAAGTTTCCTCTTGGATTCTGGTACAACTGAACGTGAAGACGGCCCAGCACCAGAGGTGGAAAGCTGAGGGTCGTCTGGGTTTTCCTCACTATTACCGATATTATGGTCATTAGTTTCGGTCAAAACCTCACCAAAACCTTGAAACTCATCTTCACTGGCACTTCCATCTGTATTAGAACTGTCACTGGGGAACAAAAGTGTCCCAATTCGCCGAGGAGTGAGGAGCTTCTTACTGCGAGGCATGGTGGACATTGTTTACTAAGAGGGCGTTCCCACAATGCACCACTGGGTCCCAGATTTTTTTTCTACCGCGCACACCGACCACACAGACCCATTCTCTCACATGTAGGCCTACCAGCCTTTTCCCGCGAGATTTGACGGCGCTAGAATTTGTGCGTACTAGTACGTCAAAAACCCCTGCACGTAAGACGTACTAGTACGTCCGAAACCCTCAAAGGGTTAAACATTCAAAAATATACCAGAAATGTTATAAATGGTGCAAAGGTGATGTTAAAACAATATCCAAGATAGTTGATATAGACCCACTACCATTATAGTATGCTCCTCACTTAGCGACAAATTCGTTTACCGATGTGGTCTTACGAAAGGAACTCCGTCATTAAGTGAGGAGAGGCTGTGTTAATATTTTAATACTAATGTTGCACGAAGTTTGTGCTTTTAACAAAGTTAATATAATTATGAGCATCTTAGTTTGTAAGTTTGTAAAGCAGCTTCAACATTTGTATTCTATAAACTGACTCCTGTGCTTTTATTTGCAAAATAAGAATATCTGAGCTGCCGTATCACACCTCTGCAGACAGTATTGGTGTCAAGATATTTGATACAGCTCTTTATTTTTACTTAAATTTATATAGAGAACAGCAGTAAAAAATAGGTTGTAACATGTAATTATTGACTAATGTGTAGTGACTCAAAGGCTAATTACAGTACTGTACTTGATAATTTAAGTTATTCACTTGCTGTTGCTCGAGGTATTTAAAATTGAGTACTGTATGATCACAAATGGTGGCTCTCATTCCATTTTTTGTCAATGTACTGCCTCGGTGAGAGACAGCCGACTTGATAAAAAAAAAAAAAAAATGGTTAAAAACGGGAGCCAGTCTTGCTAGCTCATCTGCATTCATTCTTGATGTGTTGACACTTTAGTAGTAAGCATCAATCTTCATTGTTAAAAATGATGCTTTGAAAGCAGACCGAGTATGTTAATTAGGCTAGTTTATTGTAATGAGCAGCTATCAGTGCTTACATAAATTGTGTGATGACCTATTAGTAACTGGAATATTATGAAATATAAATCTTAGGAAGTTTTGTTCCTATATCTGAACTTCGCAAGATGTCCTGATAATAGTGAAGGGTTCTTGGTACAAGGATTTGGAGCTGCCCTTCCCCTCAAATTAAAGTTTACCTCCCCTGTGGGTTTAGTGCTACCTTGAATATATAAAAGTTACAAACCAAAGTTAACATTAAATGAAAACTTATGGGTTAAACAGCAGTGCTGTGTAATATGTGTTTAGTTCTTACTTTTTAATATAAAAACTGATGCATCAAACCCATATGGGTCTTGCAGATTGTTGAGGAATAAGAGGGTGACCAGATTAGATCCAAGATAAGTAGGTAGCTCCAGCTCCTTTAAAAATGCTTCACTAGAACATTGACAGCTCATTTTTCCCACTTATGTGTTTAGTAGTAGTATTTATTGCATGTCACCTTGTATTACATCCCTGATCCTTTCAAGGACAGCATGAAGGGCTCTTGGATCCAAGGATTTGGACCTACTCTTCCTTTCTTCAGGTCAAACCTGATAACTGTTATTCCCAAGCTACTGTAAAACTACATAGGGGCTTATTATTTTCATGAATACACATTTACCCTTAAACTGTCCAAATGTAGATCTCCATTCACTTGTGTAGCGCTCCAAACGTAGATCTATTTTTTTTACGCAAAAAAGCACAAAATCGAATATAGATCTATGTTTGGAGCACTACGCGAGTGAACATTGATCTGTTTGGACAGTTTAAGGGTTAATAATGTAATGATAAACTTATTACATAGCCATGTATAACTGATATGGGTTTAGTGCTTATTTTTTTTTGTATGTATAATAGTAATACAATATTACATTTGTGGGAAGAGCTAAGCCAAAAGGAATCATACAGTACCTTGGGAATAGAGGCAATCAGTTTGATTCAAGAAAGGAGGGGCTGGCTCCATTTCCTTGAACCAATAACCTTTCACTGGCATCAGTGCACCTTTGAAGGTACTGAGATGAGAAAATAATCAGCATTTGGTAGGAATATGCTAAATTATCATAACCTGTCATTTTTTTTTTTCCATCTATAACTTCAAGTGGTGTGGAGCTACCTTCCTTTTCAACAGATCAAACCTGACTGAACGTTCTCAGGGCACTATGATCCCTACAGTTTTCCCATGAATATAATAAATTTTAAGTGCTAAATCTGTAATACTTAATACATGTAGAGAACATTTTATATAAATATTTTTTGTTAAAAAAAAAAAAAAAAAAAAAGGGGTGTTCCAGTAACTTATATCAGTGTCAAGTTATTATAAGTTTACTTTAAGGTGGGCAATATATGGTATCAAGCCACAGTTATAGAGGAATGGGGAAATATTTACACTAGTGGGTACTTGGCTAAATATTTAAAATTGTGGTGGTGTGATGTAGCTCTGGGTAATGTAGGTAGTGGTGTGTGCCAAGGTTTATGTAGGCCTTCATCCTTTCCAGTGCAGTGGGATTTCACAAAATATATTGAAGGGAAAACCACTAAACCTGTAGGGGTAATACAAGGCCTGAGAAATAAAGGCAGTCAGGTTTAATTTGAAGTGGCCCCAATTCCTTGTATGAAGAGCCCTTTATCCTTGACGGGCATTCATGTAATAATATGAAGCAATAGTTTATCATCTAGCCGACTTCAGTCGCATGACTGCAAAAGCTTATTTTAGTAACCGCTTGTACATATTTTATTTTTGTGTTAATTTTAACACTGCAAATACATAAATTTAGTAATAATAGTAACCACAGCTCAGAGGGACCAGGGTTCCATTCCTAGACGAGTGAAAGTTGGGACCTTTTCCCTTTACCTACTTGTTTCACTTAGCATTAAGTTGTTACCTAGGTGTTAGTTGCAGCCTTAGGGAGAGGATTACAGGACCCCATTGGAAATAAGCCAGTCTGATGACATGACTATTGTATTATTTTGTTTGGATTATCTTCATAATCTTGTTTAACTGAGCCTCTCCCTCTTCTCAGTGACATTCCAAATAAAGCACAGAAGTAAGGACCCAAAAGAAGAAAAACACTTGCTAAAAGCATGCATACATCACTTCATATGGCCCTCAGAACTAATCACCACTCACTCCTCCAGAAGGTAGGCACTTTACTTCCCACCACCAGGACAGTCTGGGAAACTAGTTAGCCAGGCTTGGGTCCTGGAAGTAGGACGTACAGTACCTGCACTCTGGAGGGGGGTTCTGAACTGATATCTGCATGCTTCTGACAAGATCACAATTGAATAAATGGTGAATGTTTCTATTTTTTGAGTCTCCCCACCTTGGTAGATGACTGAATTGTAGTTTTTTTTATACCATTGTGTATAGTTTTGCTTTCCTGTGTAAAATATTAATTGGTATAAAGAAAATGTTAATATATAATAAAACTAATTTTTCTCAGTGTATATTCCAAAGACTAGATATCAGTTACCTGGAGCAGGAGCCTTTCAACATCAAGGTACTTCGTCTTTAATATAATATGGGACTTTGTAATACACTGCGTGAATATAAATATAAAATTCAATAATCATTTTAGGATTATGGTACTCTTAATCCCTCTGAATATTGCCCACCTCAGGTACTGAAACATTTTCACAATTTGAATATGGCATATATTTGGTATGTAATTAAATACAACAAAACATTTTCATGTAAAATAATAAAAATGAACTGGGAATACAGCACACTGAACCAACGTATAGTTTTTATCTCTAATAATCCCTTAAGATTAGATGAAACAAAAGCTATTTGGAACAACGACAAAAGCTCCTTCCATACCTCTTGTCCTTCAACTGTAAACAATTTATCAGGTGCTATGCATTTATGATACTGACAAGGAATTTTTTTAAAGGCCAAGAGGATGATATACCAACAAATGCCATGGGCCTTACATTTAAAAAAAAAAAAAACTGTACAACATTCTCCAGATTTGCATCATTAACATATAGCCATCCCCTGTTCTCTGCAACCTTTTGCACAGCACAGTAGTCTGTGCAGAGAAACATTAAAATAAAAAGATTTTAAATTAAAAATTATCCACTTCTGTACCTTTCTTGTTTCACGTTAATGGTGTTGCCTGTCCCAATTATGTCATACTGAAAAAAAGAAAATTAAGCTACATTAATTCGTTTAAATATACAAGTTTAAATAACAAATTTCCTCACAGCTACCAATACAGTGGCCCCTTGCATCATTTTATTAATCTTTTTTCCAGATTATTATACCCCAAAAAAACTTTCACAACTAAAACCCCAAAAATTACAGGGTTTCATAGTATGTAATTATTTAAAATAGACCCCAAAAGGGTTAAAAATTTTTTACTGTACTTTTCCTGTGCAGTCAGATATTCTGTAGGCTTTAAATCCCCCTTTCATCGGGCTTTTTCTACCAAAATTAAAACCCATTTTTCCCTATTTTTATGAAAAACTTTTTGCCTTTTTCACACAGTTTGGGGTAAAGCCATTTTAAAAATTCTTTTTTTCTTTTTGCTTGATAATAGAGAAAATTTGGTCAATTGAAAAAAAGCCGCTCGTCCCACTAATTTAAACAAGCCCGGGCCATCTCCCCCCGGGGCAGGGCGACCCAAAAAAAAAACCCCCCCAAAATTATGAAAATTTTTACTCTCCCTTAAAAATAAAAGAAAAAACCAAAAAAAACTGGGGTACAAACTCAAACTATTGGCTGGATCCCCCCAGAGACATTAAACCCCCTTTTTGCGAGTGGCTGCTAAGAGAAGTTCCCATTTTGGGGGGGGGGCCGTTGGAAAAGCCACCCACTTTGTGTGACAATAAAAAATTTGTTTTATGTTTTAAAATGCTTTGGGGTCGAATCAAATAAAACTCCTTTGTTAGGATGAGTTTTGCACCGGGCTGTGTTGCCAGGAATAATACTGTAATAATTATTTTTACAAGTACATGATACAACTATTACAGACCTAGTTGACATTACTGGCATACTACTGTACATAATCCTAGTTATGCAGAGCATTTCAGGCAACTTAAGTTAATCTTGTTCCTTAGGATGCGACCCACAACAGTCCTACCATTATATGCAACTCAAACCTAAATTCCTCTGAGGGTAAATCATAACTCCAGCTCATCGTAACTCAAGAGATTACTGTATAATAGCAAGACAACATTTGATAATGATTTTTTTTTCATGGTGGGAGGAGGATGGGAGGATCACCCTACCTTAGTGGGAGATGACCAGTGTTTAAAAAATAAATGAATAGAAATGAAAATTTTTTTTTTATTTTTCTTCTTTTACATACCCTCCAAAACTCCTCCATGAACCTTCAAAACTTTTCAAATCTACCAAAAGAGCAGTCGTCATCAAATTACTCTGAAAACTCCCAATTCCTATCATTTATTATCTTTTAATCTCATTCCTCCCCAACACCCTAGAGATACTTTATTTCAGCATGATAGTATTTCTACAGAGGTGAATGGCATTTAGGTGTGCATGCAGAAAACCCCTTATTATGCAGAGCATTTTGGGCAAACTTAAGACTAACCAAGATTATTAAGTCAATGACAAAATAACTGGTTTTATATAGTCTCTCAGGTGGTTGTAAATATAAATTTAGGAGTTACAATGAATACAAGAGAAGTGAATATCCTATTGGTACATGCTATATGGCTTATCAAGTTCTGTTTAAAGCATTGGAGGTTATTATGATTATAGATAGTGAGGATTCTAGCATATTAATGTGGTCACTGTTGTAATGGTTGAGGATTATATATTAAGAATAAGATTATACTGTTTTCCATATGTTTGTGACATTGAGAATATGGATATATAGGTTTCACATGTTTAGCTGATGTTGAGATATGTTAGGGAAAGGTGCTTTTTAATGGTAGTTTTGATGATGATGGCCGAGACAGTGGCTCTGGAGAGTTCCGGCAGTTTTTTCCAGATATTGGACCCTTTTATGTACATAAAATTTGTACACAGATTTAGCTGGACACAGGGTATGTCAGAGATTTTTGTGCCTAGTATTATGTCTATGGGTCCTGTTGCAACTATTAAGAAAGTGCTTCAGGTTGAGAGTAATACTGGAATTTATTGTTCTGTAAATGAAGGTTGCACAGTAGTAAGAGTGAATATTTTATATAGTGAGTAGATTTAGGTCTTTGAAGAGTGGAGTTGTGTGTTGTCTAGCAGTGGACTGTGATCATTATTACTGTGGCTTTTTGTCGAGTTATTATTGGCTTCAGGTGATTTTCTGTTGTGGATCCCCAGGCACAAATAGCATATGTGAGGTAGGGGTAGATCAGTGAATAGTATAATGTAAGTAGTGCCATTTGTGGTACATAATAACGCATCTTTGAGAGGATGCCAACTGTTTTGGACACTTGTTGTGCGTTGGATATGGGTGTTGTTGTCAGGCTGCAGACCCAGAAATTTTCCCTCAACTATTTAGCTATAAGCGTATTGTTAACCATAATGTTTAGTTGGGCATTACTGGCTCTGCTCCCAAACATAATGTAGAGGGTTTTGTTAATGTTAGGTGTAAGTTTATTGGTAGTCATCCAGGTTGATATTTTTAAGAGCTCTTCATTAACAATGTTGAGTGATGCTGGATTTGGGTGGGAGATGACAAAAGTTGTGTCGTCAGCAAAGAGAACAGGTCTAAGCTGTTGCGATACATTTGGAAGGTTGCTGATGTATGAAAGGAAAAGTAGAATTCACTTCTTTTATAATCCCAAGTAGGCTCTCAGACTGCTAGTGTAGCATCTGGGTTCAAAGACCAACACTTCTGGGTACCCTTACAAAGTTACATGATATATAATAGCTATCCTGGTCACTGCATTATAGTACGTAATACTACCCACTCGGAGGAAGTCTCGACATCTGGATATGATGTCTGCTTGCTGCATATATATGATAGATCAATGGTAAGCAATGCGAACAGTTACAGCATTGTCTGAGCATATACTACAAAGTAATTGGCAGTACAATGATATTCAATTCAATAAAATGTTAGTGACTGCTTGCATATCATAGAAGCTTACAATGTAAAAAATAAAGCATAAATTACAGGGGACAATGAAGGAATAACATAAAATTCGGTATACTGTAAACTGTTTTGCTTTTAGCACACTCACCTATCAATAAGTGCTTTTCTCATGGTTGTAGATATAGCAGACTGTGGAGCATCATTGATCTTGAAGATACTTTCAATTACATTGAGCTCTGTTGCTGTTGTATCCATACCACAGAAAGCTGCCCAATCATTCACGAGCAAACCTGCTGCTAAAGCATTGCTTCCTCTGTTTACCGTGCCAGCCTGTAACATTATATTTTCAAACCATGTAATTATAAATCACATGATCATACTAATCTATGATGCTTTGTAATCTTTCAATCTTTCCCTCCTCTCACTACACATTTAATATACTGGCCATTTCCCATTATAATATGACCAAAGAAAAATTCACTAGTATTTGCTCTAGCTGTATTGTCAGAGGTGTAGACAGTGAAAAATAATGTCACTTAACAAAAGGGGGAAATAATCCTACCACTTACGAGAGAGATGATGGGTTCTTAGTCATGCAAACATTGTGGGAAGTGGCACCCCTCCCAGAGAAGAGACCCTTATTTTCAGCCATAAATCATTCAAAATGTACCAGCATCTGTCCCAACACTAAGATTTTCTTTAACTGACAGATAATCAATAGTAAGTTTTAATGACTAATCTGCTAAACCTTTAAGATTTATTGTCTCTAATCAGATTAAAGTTTTTATAAGGAATCATTAGAAAATGCAGTAGATTAAATGAAAAATTCCTACACAAGTAGGTCAAGTATGGATAAGTAGTACCTCAAAGGTTAAAAGTTTACAGCACTGCCACCTGACAACCCTAGATAGCTTTGATTACTAAGCACAACTGATATACTGTACATGAACACTTACCACAAGGGGAACTTGTAACAGCATTGAGAGTTCATCCTGTTCTTGGGTGGGAGTAGCAGGATGCACAATACCTCCTTGATTTGAAAGCACAGCATAGGATCCCACTAGAACATTGTTTGCTACTGTATGACGAAACACTTCCACTTGCAAGACATCGTGGATTGTTTCCTCTGTTTCCTGGACAAGGGTCAGACATTAAATATTCTAACCCATGTATATGGAATAGGTGGTAAGTTACTAAATGCTGTAAAGTTTTTATGAGGATAGTGAGGTTAGGGTGTGCAGAAGAGAGGAAGAATACTTCCCGGTAAAAGTAGGTCTTAGACAGGGATGTGTAATGTCACCATGGTTGTTTAATATATTTATAGATGGGGTTGTAAAAGAAGTAAATGCTAGGGTGTTTGGGAGAGGGGTGGGATTAAATTATGGGGAATCAAATACAAATTGGGAATTGACACAGTTACTTTTTGCTGATGATACTGTGCTTATGGGGCATTCTAAAGAAAAATTGCAAAGGTTAGTGGACGAGTTTGAGAGTGTGTGTAAAGGTAGAAAGTTGAAAGTGAATGAAGAAAAGAGTAAGGTGGTGAGGGTATCAAATGATTTAGATAAGAAAAATTTGATATCAAATTGGGGAGGAGTAGTATGGAAGAAGTGAATGTTTTCAGATATTTGGGAGTTGACGTGTCAGCAGATGGATTTATGAAGGATGAGGTTAATCATAGAATTGAAGGAAAAAAGGCAAGTGGTGCATTGAGGTATATGTGGAGACAAAAAAACATTATCTATGGAGGCAAAGAAGGGAATGTATGAAAGTATAGTAGTACCAACACTCTTATATGGGTGTGAAGCTTGAGTTGTAAATGCTGCAGTGAGGAAGAATTTGGAGGCAGTGGAGATGTCCTGTCTAAGGGCAATGTGTGGTGTAAATATTATGCAGAAAATTCAGTGTGGAAATTAGGAGAAGGTGTGGAGTTAATAAAAGTATTAGTCAGAGGGCTGAAGAGGGGTTGTTTAGGTTGTTTAGGTTGTTTGGTCATTTAGAGAATGGATCAAAGTAGAATGACATGGAGAGTGTATAAATCTGTAGGGAAAGGAAGGCGGTGTAGGGGTCGTCCTCGAAAAGGATGGAGGGAGGGGGTAAAGGGGGTTTTGTGGGCGAGGGGTTTGGACTTCCAGCAAGCATGCGTGAGCATGTTAGATAGGAGTGAATGGAGACAAATGGTATTTGGGACCTGACGAGCTGTTGGAGTGTGAGCAGGGTAATATTTAGTAAAGGGATTCAGGGAACCGGTTATTTTTATATAACCGGACTTGAGTCCTGGGAATGGGAAGTACAATACCTGCACTTTAAAGTAGGGTTTGGGATATTGGCAGTTTGGAGGGATATGTTGTGCATCTTTATACGTATATGCTTCTAAACTGTTGTATTCTGAGCACCTCTGCAAAAACAGTGATTATGTGCGAGTGAGGTGAAAGTGTTGAATGATGAAAGTATTTTCTTTTTGGGGATTTTTTCTTTCTTTCTGGGTCACCCTGCTTCGGTGGGAGATGGCCGACTTGTTAAAAAAAAAAAAAATTGAGATGTGGTAGCCAGGCAACTTTTAGTCCAATTATTTCTTTCGTATGCCTTCACTCAGGGCGTCATTTCTTCTAAAAATGGTGTTACGTGAGAATGGGAGTGTTTCTCTATTTATTCTACTGCATCAACGTGGAAACAACTTGTACAAAACGTAAAGTGATGAAAATCAGACATGTTCGTCTGGTTTGTTTGCATTGTGTGGGGAGGGTGGCCCCTGCAGAGTACCCATACTTCCCAAACTTGACTTCTTACACATAACACTCACCTCTCGCCCTACATTAAGACTACAAATATTTTAAGGAAAGTAATGGGTGTATTGAGTGTGTATTTTACTATTTATTGTTTTTAATGCCTAGTTCTATTAATAATGTAATATAGTGTAAATTTGTTACCTGGCATTTATAGGCATTTATAAGGGGAAAAAATGGCGTTCTGCTTTCCGAAGATGTTTGCTATCTGGCAGTAGCCTGGAACCTAACCTGCCGTATAAGTGGGGCCCTACTGTATATGTATATGAATGTGTATATATAAACCTACCATCCGACTTACGGCCTGCTCGACTTACGACCACTCGACTTACGACCACTCGACTTACGACCACTCGACTTACGACCACTCGACTTACGACCACTCGACTTACGACCACTCGACTTACGACCACTCGACTTACGACCACTCGACTTACGACCACTCGACTTACGACCACTCGACTTACGACCACTCGACTTACGACCACTCGACTTACGACCACTCGACTTACGACCACTCGACTTACGACCGTGTTTTTTATGCCAAATTTCTGGGAAATAAACAACTATTTGTGCTGTACAAAGTGTTTATCCTAAACCTTACAGTATAAAATACAGTACTAACAGCATAAAAAGTAAAGTAAAACATGAAATATCAAAATACAACAATAAAATAAAGTCATTACAAAAATGTTTTGTTGATATTCAGTAGTAAAGTTCGACTTACGACCATTTCGACTTATGACCGGTTTCTTGGAACCAAACTCGGTCGTAAGTCGGATGGTAGGTGTATTTTTTTCTTTCAACAAACCAGCCATATTCCACCAAAGCAGGGTGGCCCAAAAAGAAAAACAAAAGTTTCTCTTTAACTTTAGTAGTGTATACAGCAGGTGTTACTAGCCCCTTGCTCCCGGCATTTTAGTCACCTCTTATGACATGCATGGCTTATTGAATTTTCATGAAGGATTTCCTTAATGTGTTTTATTTCATTACCAGTAGTGTATATTATTGTGTTCATGTCACACTAAGTAAGTCTGGATCCTTCAGCATTGCATGGTGAAGGGTTAGAGTGGCAGGAATATCAAGGGTAAGTACAAAGTAAATGGAGAAATTGAAAGTTAATGTTGTGATCAGCCTTAGTTAAGAGGTCACCTCAGTTAAATAAAAAATATCTTGCATCAACAGTGGGATTTTCTGAGGATGGGAGACAAAGTAAGTATGGTAAAGCATTTAAAGAGGCTGAAGCTCTGTGATGAACTGGGCAATATATATATATATTTTTTTTTTTGGAGGGGGGGGGGTTAATGTCACTATGACTTTACTTATGCAGTGGAGCTGGGCACCTTCCCATGAGATAACCATGGCAAATCCGGTACGCCAATGTGTGCTTGCATAATTACCATTTTTTATACTAACAGCAACGGACTTCCTGGTCCCAAGAAGATTGACTATACAATGGCTGTTAGGAAAATATGAGTAAAAACAAACATGAAATGTCTCCTCTACTGGAAATTTAAATACAATAAAGTAAGGAATGTATGCAGAATATTCATGCAAATAGTAATTAAGAACCAATAAAATAAACTCATTACATCACTAATTATGACAGATCTCTACCTTAGAAATTTAAAAAATGAAGGAACATACCCTATCTATATCTGGATGAACAAGTGCAACATAATCATTACAGACAACTACATTTCCAAGAGCAGATAATCGTTCCTCTATCCGCTGAACTTTGACTTTATCTGGGAGATGGTCTCGCAGGAGTTGCAATTCTGTATCTGTCGTCGTACTGGGCACCAGAAGACCATGTCGATTGCCTGTAATTTCAGATACACAATGATAATTAAGTAACTAAGTAGTATATGTAATAGGTATATCACAGGTTGTCCCTTTCATTTAATAAGTTATTGTATATAATGGACAATTACATTTATCAAATACAGTAAAGTACAATACTTCAAACTTTAGAAAACATGTCTAACAAGTACTGCACATACCTGTAACCATTGTTCCTATAATGCGACAACCAGCTATGGACGTAAACACAACAGGAATTGTATCACTCAACTGCTCCTCAAAGATGCTGAAATAAAAATCATATTAACTTACTCCTCAAAAGCTATTATAAAATAATGTTATTAGAGATAAAGTGGTGAAGAATAAGATGACATTACAGATACATCAAAATAGAGGGTTATCTTACAAACCAATATATCCAAATATGTAAAAGCACAGTATAATAATAATAATAATAATAATAATCTAATCAAAAAATAAATTAGAGGGGCAAGGGAATGCTAGACCATATATATAGGACAATAGGACTAGAGTGATGAAAAAAGAAATCTATTTGAATCCAAATGAAGACAAGTTATAACGAGATCATTTAACCCTTTGGGGGTTTCGGCCGTATTAGTACGACCCAGGGTTTTTTGACGTACTAGTATGCCTAAATTCTAGCGCCCTCAAATCTAGTGGGAGAAAGCTGGTAGGCCTACATATGAAAGAATGGGTCTATGTGGTCAGTGTGTACAGTATAAAAAAAATCCTGCAGCACACAGTGCATAATGAGAAAAAAACGACCGTTTTTCTGGAATAAAACAGCGACTTTGCACTGTATTTTCGTATGGTATTTATTGTTGTATTCTAGTTTTCTTGGTCTCATTTTATAGAATGGAAGACATATTACAGAAATTGAGATGATTTTGACTGATTTTACAATGAAAAGTACCTTGAAATTGAGCTCAAAGTGGCAGAAATGTTCGATTTTTACCAAAGTTCGAAAGTAAACAAATCATGCCAAGCGTCCAATACACGTCAACTGGTGAGTCTAATATTCTTTCACAAGTGTGCCGATGTTATTTATACCATTTCTACACTAATGCAGCAGTCTGCATAACAGTAAATCTTCTATTTTTTGTAAGAATAAAAATTCAAAGTGGAAATCAAAAGAATGTAAGAGGGGCCTTGAGACGTGACTAATGAACAGAGGAAATGTCATTTTAGTGCCAGGAATGTCTTTGTTTATCCTGGACCCTATTCGGAAATTGGCATCTTTTGAAATTTGTGTGAAATTGGCAAAATTGCTAAATTCTGACCACTGTACTGGATAGTTGAAATTGGTAAATGGGTGGTTTCTTGCACTCATTTAATAGAAAAAATGGAGTTCTAGCGAAATATTCATGTTTGTTGTAGACTAGTACAGTGGAATTGGCTGAAAATGGGGCTCAAAGTGGGCAAAATCGCCGATGCGTAAACATCGCCGACACCGCTAACTTTGCGAGAGCATAATTCCGTAAGTTTTCCATCAAATTTCATACTTTTGATGTCATTATGATCGGGAAAAGATTCTCTATCTTTTCATAAGAAGAAAATTTTTTTTTTTTTAAATTTGGCTGACCCTGAGAGCGAGTCTTGGAGAGGGCCTGTCGACCCTCAAAGGGTTGAACATACTTCCTGTCTGTTATCACAAAAATTTTCACATGAAATTCCAAACTAACAATTATAAATAACCCAATGAAAACAAATTATACATGATCATAATACTCGAGAACAAACAAGACCCCTGGGCCAACACAAACTGTTTTTAAGGGTTTATAAAGAATGAAGAGATGAACTTGAAAAATCCATTAATTAGCTAGTCTTTTCAAGATACAGTGCAACCCTAAACTATCAGAAATGTTTATTTCTAGGCCCACTAATTGCAAACCAGCCCCTCTGCATTGCTTGAGTAGGAAATTTCCCATACAGTCTACAACAGTTGACCCAAAAATAAACAGACCCACTGGAAAAAAAACAAACAAAAAATCAGCTAGCTCAGTGCCCAGCTCTAGAGCTGACCCTGACCCAGCCAAAGTGCAAATCCAGATTCAGCTAAATACCCTTCTACAGCCACCACAGCTATAGCCCCTAGTACAGATGTGGTAAAGGAGTCCTCTTCCGGGAAAAATGTTGGCCTACTGACAACGGATGGTGGCGTGTCTGGTTTGGCTATGGAGGACTGTAGTGCAGTTTTAGGATCTGCACAGATTAGGAATACATCCAGTGTGAATTGTATCCAGCCAAAAACAAAATGGTGCAAATTCTATGTTTGGGGCATTTGTAAGCATGGATTATCAGGGAAAACAAATGAGACATGCAACTTTGAGCTTCCCAAAAAATACCGCGAACTCCTGTCTAAAGAAGCGTGTCATTCTACCTCTTGAAAATTCTTCCACCCTGAGATGTGTCATTCTTCAGTCCTCAAAAAACAATGTTACAATACCCACTGCCCTGCATACCACCTAAAAGGGACCAGGAGGCACACACCTCGTATAACAAATCATAGTTATGGTAGCTATGACAACTCCACTCCAAGTGATTTTTTAGTGTTAGGAATTGAAGAAAATGGAAAGAAATAACCAAAATAGTTCTCCACCTTGGAGCCTTGTTGGACTGGAGGCACAGCCAGTGGCCCCGCTGGACTCGCAACTACTGATGCCTACAACGAAATCCCCCCAATAAACATACAACATAACCTCATTTATATTTGCTATATACAGGGCCTTAAGCCATCCACCAACAATAAAATACCTTTCATTAGTGGACTTCTAGGGGAGTTAAATGCAATGTTTGCAGCCTTCATAGAGACCCACACAAAAGATTACTTTGACAGTGAAATATGGATACCTGGGTACAACCATTTTAGACGAGACTGAAAGAACAGGCAACAAGGGGGGTTATTGGCCTGTATGTCAAAAAATTGCTCATTTGCACAGAGATACTGAACACCACAAATGATGTAGTTGAAGTTCTAACAAAAATCGAGAACCAAAACTTAGTCATTGTACTTGTATATAAGCCGCCAGATGTAACTTTCCAACAGTCGAAAGAACAGCTATCCAAAATTGACTCCTGTCTGGAAAACCTTCCAGCCCCATCCACAAACATCTTGCTGCTTGGCGACTTCAATCTAAGACGTACAAAATGGAAGAGTATAGCAAATAATGTTGTAGCAGATAAGTCACACACATGAGCTACTGAATTTCTGCAATAAAAACACCCTAAGTCAGCAGACAGTGGAGCCAACAATACTGAAGAACACACAAGACCTTATTTTCACAAATAATGAGGACCTGGTAAGAAACATATCAAAAACAACTAATTCTGATCACAAACTAATCAGTAGAGAACCCTCAAAGCTGTATGCATTTTGCTGATCAGGACCCCTTTGCATGTAAGTCTGGGGTCCTGATCAGCAAAATGCATACAGCTATGAGGGTACCATTACTAAATTCAACTTCAACAAGAACATCAACTGGGATCAGGTAAACTATTCCCTAAATGAAACATGGTGGAAAGTTATCTTAAATTACACGAACCCTAACCTGGTAGCCGAAGCATGTTCAAGGCATATTCCCCTAAGAAAAAAGGAGAGAAGTAAACTGGAGAGAGAGACGCTCCCTCTACAGGAGAAGGCGAAGAATCATTGAGCTCCTCAAGAATGCCAGATTATCTGAAACACGGAAGGAAATACTAACCAGGGAAATGGAAACATTAAGCTGAAGTTAAAGGATCGTACGAGCCTGGCCCATGGCCGGGCTCAGAGAATAGATACTCTCTCGAAACTCTTCAAAGGTATATCAAAGGTATCCAGGAGAGACAAGAGGAGCTAAAAGCGATAAGTGACATTGAAAGAAATTTGAAATATTTCTTTTCATATGCCAAAAACCACTTCTAGTATAGGGCCCCTACTCAGACATGATGGATCCTACACAGATGACAACAAAAAAATGAGCGAGATACTGAAATCTCAATATGATTGTGTTCAGAGAACCACTAATTAGTCTAAAGATAGACAATCCAAACAATTTTTTCATGAATGAGCCTCAAAACCCTGCCAATGTATGCCAAATTTCTGACATAACCCTAACTCCACTAGACTTTGAGAAAGCCCCAGGCCCAGACTCTTGGAACTCGGTGTTCATTAAGAATTGCAAGAAACCCCTCTCACGAGCCTTAAGTATACTATGGAGAGGGAGCATACACACAAGCGAGATTCCAGTCGCTAAAAGCAACGGATACAGCCCCACTCCATAAAGGTGGCAGCAAAGCAATAGCCAAGAACTACAGACCAATAGTTTTAACATCCCACATCATAAAAAGTTTTGAAAGAGTTCTAAGCAGCAGGATAGCAAACCACTTGGACTCCCAAAAATTGCACAATCCAGGGCAACATGGTTTCAGAGCAGGTCGCTCCTGCCTCTCGCAACTACTGGACCACTGCGCTATGGTCTTAGATGCACTGGAAAACAAACAGAATGCAGATGTTGTATACACTGATTTTGTAAAAGCCTTTGACAAGTGCTATCATGGTGTAAAAGCACATAAAATGCATGCTGAAGGGATAACTGGCAAAGTAGGCAGATGGAGCTTCAACTTTCTAACTAATCGCACACAAAGAGTAGTGGTAAACAGAGTTAAATCAGAAGCTGCCATAGTGAAGAGCTCTGTTCCACAAGGCACAGTACTTGCTCTATCCTGTTCCTCGTTCTCATATCAGACAGACAGATGTAAACCATAGCACTGTATCATCTGCAAGTGTGTCATCCATTGAGGACACAGCAAATCTCCAAAAAGATATAGATCAAGTTTTCCAATGGGCAATGGAAAACAACAATGTTCAATGAAGACAGATAGGACTGAGTATACTACAAACTCTAATCACACAATAGAGCAGAAAAGTAACGTGAAGAACCTGGGTGTGGTAATGTCCAAAGATCTCACTTTCAAGGACCACAACAATGCCAATATCACATCTGCGACAAAACTGATAGGATGGATAATGAGAACATTCAAGACAAGAGATGCTAAGCCAATGATGATCCTTTTTAAATCACTTGTTCTCTCTAGGCTGTACATAGCATCCCCATTCAAGGCAGGTGAAATTGCAGATCTAGAGAATATACAGAGAACCTTTACTGCATGTTTAAGTTCCATCAAACACCTTAACTACTGGGAATGCCTGGAAGCTCTTGACTTGTACTCATTGGAGTGCAGGTGAGAGAGATGCATCAAAATCTACACCTGGAAGATTCTGGGGAG